ACATCCTCCCAGGTCTGGGACACCTCGAGAACCCCCAGAAGGACCTCAAGTGGCCTCAGGGGAGAGGGAGGTCTGGGTTCTCCTCCTAGACCAGACACCTGCCCAACCTGAGCCCAGAACCCCAAAGAGGACACGAGGAAAAAGACGGCTGTGATGACGGACAGATCCCAGACGACCCTGCTGGGGCCAGTTTGGGCACAAACGTTGACTTGGTTTGGACTCGTGGACCTGCAGACTCCCATCCTCCAACAGAACTAAACTGAGGAGCAACAATCAGAACCAGGACTGAGACCCGTCCTCCTGCCAGCTGCAGACTGAAATACCAGAGATCTGAAAAGTTCAGGTCGGTGGTTCTGGCAGGAACGAGGAGTTCAGGTCAGCTGTGAAAACTGAGACCCAGCAGAGCGGCTCAAACCGGATTCTGTTGCTCCTCAGACCAGCAGCTGCCAGCCTCAGACAGAGGAGGAGCAGGAGGAAGAGGAGGAGGTGGAGCAAGAGGAGCAGCTGAAAACAACAAATCTGGACTAAAGTGTGGAAAAACAAAAACTGCAACTTCATCTGGATCAACCGTTTTATTCTGATTTAAATAAAGTCTGATCAACAAAAATACTTAAACAGCTCCAAAGTCCAGAACCGATCCAGAACCAAGTCCAGTCTGGTTCTGATCCAAACATTCAGGTCCACTAAACCTACAAGAAGCGTCGGTTCAGACTTCAGGATGCCTCAAACGGTCGTGCAAAGTGTCAGATACTTTTATTTTGGAATGAAGCGCATCACTTCCTATTGGAACAGGAAGTGATGCGCTGCAGAAACAGGAAATATCTGCTCAAAGTTACCGAAGAGTTAAAGTCCGTTTACAGAAAAACACAAACAAACAGTTACAGAAACGTAAACAGTTTGACAGGCAGACTCGATCAGCCAATCACAGCGCAGACATGTTTCAGAGTGGGATGATGAAGAGGCCGTGATGAAGATGAGCCGACGGTCTTCATCCTCAGTCAGATTTCTTGTCACTGCTCGCCTGCAGACAAAGAAGGGACTAAAAACTCATTTATTCTAAAAATAAAGTTCTGTTCATTTTCTTCAGAGGCTGGACTTTTTACAATCAGTGTATAAAAAAAATTATTATTTGGCTTATTTCAAAAATTATTTAAAAAATGAGCTGCTTTCAAGACGATCTGCTCAAACAGAAAATTAAAAACAAACAAACGGAGAACTCAAAGTTCCCACACTGAGCAGGGCCCTGAAATATGCGTTCAGATGGTGAGCTCCTGGAGCCCGTCTGCTTTATGTGAGAGTTCAACAGGTCTGGACCGGAGGCCCCGGCAGTGTCCCCCCCACCCACGTGTGTGCCCCCCCCCTCCTACCAGCAGCTTGCTGTGCTCCTCCAGCAGGCGGTCGTACTCCAGTGTCAGGTTCTCGGCCTGCTTCTTCATGGCGCAGACGTCGCTGTCGGACTTCTGCAGGGCTGCAACAGAAACCAGCAGGTGAGCCTCAGATGGGCTCAGGGGGTCCGGTCCCATCCTCAGATCCTTCTCACCTTTCTTGGTGTTGTCCAGCTCCTTCTGCAAAGTCTTCAGCTCCTCTTTCAGAGTCTTGTTCTCCTCCTGGGGTCCAGCTCCTGGTTTCCCGCCCTCTGGCACCTCGATCCCGGCCTCGTGCAGTTTCTGCAGACAAACGGCGCATTAGCGTCTTCCAGAGGGTCCACAGAACCTTTGTGGTCCTGAACATTATTTTTCATTCAACCTTTATTTCTACAGGTTGGTCTCATTGAGCCTTAGGGACTCATTTACAAGAGAGACCTGTTCCACACAGAACGTACAGACGACGATAACGGTAAACATTAATAACAATAAACTACATTTAAAATGCAGTTGAAATAAGAGTAGTGTATAAAACAATAAATCAGGGTGAACAGGTCCGGTCAGGGCCTTCAGAGGGCTCAGTGAAGGACTGCATTTACGTGGCTCGAGTCACGTGGAGGTCATGGAACGCTAACCATACCTGCAAACTCAGAAGGGATGAAAAAGGTGACAAACCTAGAGACTGATTGTTGGCAGATCAACACGTGGTTATTAATTAATGGAAACACCTCTTTAAACAGTCTGGTTGGGATGAAGCTATTATTTTAGACAATTCAGAGCTCAAAAAAAAAAAAGCTTGATTTTTCTCCCTAATTGAAACAATTTTATTTATAAAGAATCTCATGAAGTCATCACTGCTTATAGTTGTAGGGACACATGGTTCAACAGAGATGGGAGTTTTCATTAGACTAGCTGTGGTACTGAAAAGAAACCTAGGGTTATTTGTATTCTCATCAATTAAAGATGAATAATATAAAGTTCTAGCTTTACGGAGAGCTTTTTTATATGTTAGCAGACTATCTTTCCAAGATAAGTAAAATTACTTAACGTTAGTAGAGCGCCATTTTCGCTGTTCGAGTAATAATACCAACGGAGTCACAGGTGTGACACGGATGACCAATCAGAGGCTATATAGCCCGACGTCATCCGCAGCTCTGCTCCTTTTTCTTCTCACGCGCGGTTCAATTCATGGCTTCAGCCCTTTGGACCTTCTCTGAACTTTTTACCGTCGTCAGAAGCCCGACTGCCCATCTGTGGGTGTAGCGTGTTCGCCCTCCTAGGGCTGCGACGGTTTAACCCTGTTCAAAGGTATTTTCTGCTGATTCGTTGGGAACTACGGCAGTTCCGCCTGTCCCAATTTACAGCGTCTGACTACTATGTCTGTGATTCAACACCGGTGAGTAGTGTTTTTCCTTATATTTCGCCGATGGTTAGCGGTAGCGTTCGCTCTGCTCCCGCTTGTTGGGAGGCCTCCAACCAAATGGTCGGCTGGACTGTGCTCTGACATTGTTTATGACTACTATGTGTGTGATGCAACACCGGTGAGTAGTGTTTTTCCTTATATTTCGCCGATGGTTAGCGGTAGCGTTCGCTCCGCTCCCGTTTACTGGAGGCCTCCAACCGCGTGGTCGGTTGAACTATTCTCCGAAGTTTGCTTATTACATAGCCAGCTGAGTTCCTGGCCTTGTTTTCATTGGTGAAGGCGAGCGTTCTCGCCCTCTCTCCCAATTGTCTTCTCTTACCAGCTAAACTAGCGGTGCTAGCCTCTCTGAGTTTTGGCCTGGTTTTAATTGGTGAAGGCAAGTGTTTGCGCCCCCTCTCCCAATTGTCCTCTTTACCAGCTGAGCTAGCGGTGTTAACCTTTCTGAGTTTCTTGCTGTAATTTTTTCATCCTATATCTTGGACATAGCTGGGTAAGGAGCATGGACAGCTCTCTCTGCTGTACAGTCTGTGGAGCCATGCTCCAGACAGATGACGGTCACGACCTGTGTCCTACCTGCCTTGGACATGACCATCTGGTGGAGGCCCTGTCAGAGAACCCCTGCATGAATTGCAGCTTCATGTCGCGTGCTGTGAGGGTGGCCCGGCTGGCCCAGTTTCGCACCAAACTCGGCGATGACCTCCCGCCTTCTGGGCTGGAGGCTCCACCTAGGCGCTCGAAGCGCCGGACTGAGGCCGCAGTCTCTGTGGCCCCTCCTGGGAAGAAGCGAGCCAGGTCTGATAGGGGCCTCTCCACAAGGGTGGAGCAGCTCTCCGCTGAATTAGCTGGGTGGTCTTTACCCTCATGCGGTTCAGCAAAGGCCCAGCAGGAGCTTTCATGGGTCGGTCCACCTACCAGCGGGCAGGCTCGGACCAGGGACTCTGGCTGCCGCCCCCTACGGCCCCTAGGGGCCGTAGAGGGAGATGGTGATGCCATCAGGCCGACCATCGGATATTTCTCCCACCAGCAGCTCAGTTACTGGGCTGCTCACGCCGTGGACCCATGGGTGGTTGCCACTCTGACCCATGGTTATCGGCTACAGTTCCGACGGCGGCCTCATATCTCATGCCGGGTCAAAATGACTGTAAACGCCGACCCGGTGAAAGCTCGAGCACTAGACCAGGAACTTTCCGCCCTCCTGGCCAAGGGCACAATAGAGGCAGTGGACCCTCTGCAACAACCCAGGGGCTATTACTCGACTTACTTCCTCGTGCAAAAGAGGACAGGCGGGTTTCGTCCCATTTTAGACCTGAGGGGACTCAACCAGTACCCAAGAGAGCTGCTCTTCCACATGCTCACGACAGCAGAAGTCCTTCAAGCCATCACGAGGGAGGAATCATCTATAGACCTGAAGGATGTGTATTTTCATGTGCCTATTGCGGCAGAACATCACTGCTTTCTCAGGTTTGCCTATCGGGGTCACCACTGGCAGTTCCGGGTACTCCCATTCGGGCGGTTCAGGGCCGCTGGGGTCATCAAAGGGACCACTCCAAGCATATAAATGTGCTGGAGCTGCGTGCAGTGCACTTGGCACTCAGGCACTTCCTGCCTCACCTGGAAAGGAGGCATGTTCTTGTTCGGTCAGACAACACCTCTGTTGTCTACCACATCAACCATCAGGGGGGCAACCAGGTCAGCACAACTTCTGAGAGTGTCCAGAGAGCTCTTGGAATGGGCCTCTCCTCGCCTGTCCACCTTGCGGGCAGCGTACTTACCAGGGCGACACAATCAGGTCACAGATCTTCTCTCCCGCCAAGGGTCCCCTCCAGGAGAGTGGTCCCTCCACAGCGACATAGTGCTGATGATCTGGGACCGTTTTGGTCAGGCAGAGATAGACCTGTTTGCGACGAAAGAGTCGACTTTGTGTCCCCTATGGTACTCTTACGGGGGCGTCGGGTGCGCTAGGCCAGGACGCATTGGCTCTTCCTTGGCTAAGGGTCCTTCTATATGCCTGTCCACCCCTTTCTCTAATTTGGCCAACCCTTCAGAGAGTCCTCGAGGAGGGCCACAGGATGCTGCTGGTGGCTCCGTATTGGCCAGCGTGACCATGGTTCCCACTGCTACAAAGTCTATGTCAGGGTGTCCCATGGTGTCTTCCGACCAGGATGGACTTGCTGTCTCAGTTGGGGGGACTGATATGGCACCCCAATCCTCAACGTCTTCGGCTGTGGGTGTGGCCACTGCAAGGCTAGGACAGCAGCTGAATGGAGTTTTGAGCCCCGTCAGACGCACCATCCTGGGCGCCAGGGCACCCTCTACTCGTCAGCAGTATGAAAACAGGTGGCGTCTGTTTTCCCAATGGTGTTCTGATCACAACGAGGACCCAGTCTCCTGTACAGTACCCACCATTCTGGAGTTTCTCCAGTCTCTACTTGGTAAGGGTCGCTCTCCTTTGACGCTTTAAGTTTATGTAGCGGCAATATCATCTAATCAAGATGGCATTGATGGCTGTATGGTAGGGAGCCATAATCTAGTCTCTCTTTTTCTGCGTGGTGCCCGTAGGTCACACCCGCCGACAGCTCCACGAGCACCAGGTTGGGACAAGAGACCAGAGAGACAAGAGACCAGAGAGACATGAGACCAGAGAGACCAAGAGACCAGAGAGACCAGAGAGAACAAGAGACCAGAGAGACAAGAGAGACAAGAGACAAGAGAGACAAAGAGACCAGAGAGACCAGAGACAAAGAGACCAGAGAGAACAAGAGACTAGAGAGACCAAGAGACTAGAGAGACCAAGAGACCACAGAGACCAAGAGACCACAGAGACCAGAGAGACAAGAGACCAGAGAGACAAGAGACCAGAGAGACAAGAGACCAGAGAGACAAGAGACCAGAAAGACATGAGACCAGAGAGACATGAGACCAGAGAGACAAAGAGACCAGAGAGACAAAGAGACCAGAGAGACCAAGAGACCAGAGAGACATGAGACCAGAGAGACATGAGACCAGAGAAACAAAGAGACCAGAGAGACCAAGAGACCAGAGAGACAAAGAGACCAGAGAGACCAAGAGACCAGAGAGACAGAGAGACCAGAGAGACAAAAGAGACCAGAGAGACCAAGAGACCAGAGAGACCAGAAAGACAAGAGACCAGAGAGACCAAGAGACATCAGAAAAAGACAGATGTAAAGAAGAGTGGGCCATAAGTTCTCCAGAATCAGGAGAGAGACTAATGAAGTCCTACAGAGAACCACAGACATTTCTGGTTCTGAAGAAGGTCCTGTTACTCAGATCAGACCTTCTCGTAGAGGGGGGAGGCGTTGACTGGACTCTACTAGCTTACCATTACTAGTACATGTCTAGTACTAGTAATGGTACTAGTAATGGTTAGGATTAGGGAACGGGTCAGGCTGCAGAAAATGAATAGAAGTCAATGCAAAGTCCCCAAAAATTACATGAACAAGAACATGTGTGTGTGTGTGTGTGTGTGTCACCTCCTGCAGCAGCTCCTTCTCCTCCATGAACTTCTTGGCAGCAGTGTTGGCGCCCTCCGCCTGCTTCTTGAAGGCTTCATTGGAGGCCATGAGCGTGGCCTGCTGGGAGAGCAGGGTGGCCAGGCGCCGCAGCAGCCTGCAGCACACACACACACACACACACACACAGCATCACTCTGCTGACCAACTGTGGACGCTGCGGTGCAGGTGGACGGTCCACTCGTCCTCTCAAGGGACTGGAGGACGCAGGACCCCTGAGGTCCGTGGTCTCCACAGGTCCTCCTGTGACATCACCTTCATGTGGAGCAGGCGAGGACGAGCAGCAGAACCAGGTGATAGTTCCCTCAGACGCGGGGGGGGGGTGTCTCTGCTTGTACAACAGTAGGAGGAACAGTGGCTGATCTGAGGGAAGCAGAACTCCATGAAGTCGTGCACGTCGCTCCATTACACGACCGTTTGGTTCAAACGTGAAAAGGTTGCACGTGAGGTCATGAGGTCAGACAGCTGTGGCGGCCATCTTGAATTGGGCGGACGGTTGTAAATGTCCGTCCAACGAGTGCTTCGACTTCCACCATGAGATATTTTGCTAACAGAGAGCCAACAAGGCCCAGCTTCTGCAATGAATCCATCAGGGAGCTTCATCGCCTGCAGAGGTAAATTTATCTGTGAGGTCACCGCCATCATGTGACGCCGTGCACATGTGCATGTTGTAAATATCTGCCTCGTGATGCATTCAGGGACTCTCTGGCAGCTCGGCTTTATTTGTGTTGCACTCCTGTTCCAGCTGCTATTTTTACACGGCTCAAACACGCCCTGGCAGCAGGACCGCACACACCAAACGTGCAAATATAGACGGGTCACTATCTGACCCGGCTGCAGCCAAAACCAGAACTAACGGGCCTCTGTACACCGCTGCTCAGAACCAGGAGCCAAACCAGAATCTCCAACGATCCACAAAAATCTGAATAAAACATGGAGACTTTTCCTCGGAGCGGTCGGTGTTTCTGGTACCGCTAAAGTCCAGTTTGGTTCTGTTTCCTTTAAAAAATAAAATGTAACATCTGCAGGTCGAATGACAAACTGAAGAACGTTCGAACGCTTCGGATTCAAGTGAACCGTGTCTGTAAATGTAAGAACAGGCAGGGACTACTTTCAGATGCGGATGAATCTGTGAGGAGTCCAGCAGCGTCACTCAGCTGACAGTCTGGAACATCTTGAAGAGTTCTGGACCATTTGTTTTTTTAAGAACTGAGAATCTGACCTGGTTTGTAACCAGAACTGGACCCGTTTACAGGAGAAATAAAAGCCCCCCACCCCCACGGCCCCCAGGTCCAAATATGGCCGTGGGTCAGGCCTGAAATAATCCGAGCAGCTGCAGAGTCTCAACAAGTTGTGCTGCGGTTCTTCATGGCCCAGTGTGGAAACCCTGAATCAGAGTCCGACAGGCCCGGTTTAAATGCTGCACAACTTCCTGTTGGACTGTCACAGCAGCTGCAACATCACATGTCGCATCACGTCAGTGAGCCGAGGAGCAGCCGAGGAGCAGCCGAGGAGCAGCCGAGGAGCAGCCAGGAGCAGCAGTCAGCTGCTGCCCCCTGCTGGCAGCACAACAAACTCCTCTTTGGTTCTTAAAACAAAAAGTGGACCAAGAGTTGAACGGGTTGTCAACAGGAGGAGTTACTCCTGCTCCTCCAGCTGATGAGGCGTTCAGAGACAGTGAGCTACTCCTGTACCTCCAGCTGATGAGGCGTTCACTGACAGTGAGCTGCTCCTCCAGCCGATGAGGCGTTCACTGACAGTGAGCTGCTCCTCCAGCTGATGAGGCG